TAAAAATATGATAACATAAGAACAGCCATTCTGTGTCAGACCAAAGGTCCATCTAGCCCAGTATCTTGTCTTCCAACAGTTGCCAATGCCAGGTGCCCCAGAGGGAATGAACAGAACAGGTAATCATCAAGTGATCCGTCCCCTGTTGCCCATTTCCAGCTTCTGGCAATCAGAGGCTACAGACACCATCCCTGCCCATCCTGGCTAATAGCCACTGATGGATCCTATCCTTCATGAATTTATCTAGTTCTTTTTTGAACCCTGTTATAGTCTTGGCCTTCACTACAGCCTCTGGCAAGGAGTTCCACACGTCGACTGTGTATTGTGTGAAAAAATACTTCCTTTTGTTTGTTTTAAACCTGCTGCCTATTAATTTAATTAGTTCTTGTGTTCTGAGGAGTAAATAACACTTTCTTATTTACTTTCTCCACACCAGTCATGATTTTATAGACCTCTATCATATTCCCCCTTAGTCATCTCTTTTCCAAGCTGAAAAGTCCCAGTCTTATTAATCTCTCCTCATGTGGCAGCCATTCCATACCCTTAATCATTTTTGTTGTGCTTTTCTGAACCTTTTCCAATTCCAATATATCTTTTTTGAGATGGGACGACCACATCTGCATGCAGTATTCAAGATGTGGGCATACCATGGATTTATATAGAGGCAGTATGATATTTTCTGTCTTATCTTCTATCCCTTTCTTAATGATTCCCAACATTCTGTACGCTTTTTTGACTGCCGCTGCACATTGAGTGGATGTTTTCGGAGAACTAGCTACAACGACTCCAAGATCTCTTTTTTAGAAGATATATAGAAGAACTAGTGTTCTAGCAGAACACTCCTCCAAGTGGAGATAAGAATCTGTATCCTGGAAACTGTATTTCAGCACAATAATGATGGAAAGAAGGCTTTAGCTTAATATAGTTTATTTAGTAGTCACCCTGGAATGTATTTAAAATTAGTTAGATGTATAAATAAAACAAAACTTGTCAAAATTTACATGCGAGACAAACAGGACAGTACTTCTCCCTGTGATTCCTCAGGAGGAGCTGGCCTATACCCTTTTTAAATGGTGTTCTGACAAAATTATATTGAAATGGCAATGACATCTCTGTCAAGCATTTCTTGTTGAAGAAATCTGGTACTATAACTTCCTCATTAAAGCAGAAGAGGCTCTCATTCCAAACAGTATGTTTTTATTAGTTGAAAGAGGTCTATTTGAAGATAAAGCAAGTTTAAAAAACCCTACATATTGATTATAAAGTGTGTATATTAACAGCTGAGCACAAAAAAAAAACCTGTTAATGGGTTTCATCTAATAAAGCTCAGGCCTTTTGCCTTCAACATAATATTGCTGAAGTGCTTTACAAAGATCTTGGAATGGAAAGGTTGTGGCAACTTGCCAATGTTGTGGTACAGTCTCCACTGTCTTTTGTTAGAGTGCTTTGTTAGAAATCCTAATTACAACAGCTGTATTCCAAAAGATACCTCATTAGCACATCGTTGTCCTGCCAGACTGGTCATCGAAGTACACACCCTCACCAAAATATTAAACCATTACTATCATAATGCTATTAATGTTATCATCTGGCAAAAAGCAGACATACTTTCTTGATGTTCTAATTTGCTTCAGCCATGATCATTTAAAAGCCACTTATAAAGCTACTCAGTTGGACAAAAAATAGTTTTGCGGTAATATCTTTCACAGGGAAATAATTACTTGCATATGCAGGGTCTGTCGTGTATCTCTGTTCATTCTCCATTTTATCTGTCACACATTTTCTTAATAAAAGGTCTGCTTTTATAGTACACTTAGAGAAAAAGGTGGAGCAATAACAATCATGTTACTAGTCCTACTGTTTACCATTATCTACAGGGTTTTAGAGTTGATTCACATTACATTTCTCCACTTTTGACTTTAATTGTCTGCTTCAAGTTATCAGGACATAACTATATCTTAGATTTGCATTGCATTAGGGGATCTTTTCCTTTCTTTATTGATCTTGTCTTATGGAGTAATTTAACTCAATTCTAATTTTCTTTTGCATGCGGGGTGCTCTCCATCCAAGGAAGTGAGTTATGTGTATTCAAGTGGTGCATCTTATGAATCTTGTTAAGCTTTACCGCCTTATAGCCCGCATTGATGGAATATTTAATCACAGAAATGAGTTGGCAGATATGATGTACAATGCGGTTAAGCCTTGCGGCGTGTGTCTTCACCGGCAATTGAGAAACGGGTGAAACTGCCATTCATCAGTGCCATCCTGACAGCTTTGTATAACCTTCTGTTTTTTTACTTATTTATGAAGATTAAAGGTGCTTTAAATCAACAGTTTCTCTGTAGATATATCATCTTTTATTTCCAAAGTGGCCAAATTTTTCATCATTTATTAGCAGGCAAAAGGAACTTCTTGCACTGACTGTGAAGTAGTAGAGAGACAATGTGGGTGAGGTAATATCTTTTATTGGACCAACTCCTGTTGGTGAGAGAGAGAAGCTTTCGAGCTCGCACAGAACATTGTCTCACTACAGAAGTTAGCTCACCCACCTTCTCTCGCTAAAATCCTGGGACCAACACAGCTACAAAACACTGCATACAACAATGTGAAGTAATAGGTATTTTCCATGTTGAATTTTAACATGGTAGCACTGGAAACCATAATTAAATTAAAAAACTAAAAATCTTACCCATCTTAAAACCTTATTTCTAATTCTGAAGTCTTCAAAAGTTTTATTGCCTCCTCCCCAAATGACTTAGGACAGAATGGCACAATATGCCAAACCATTCAATTATTGTGGGCAGACACTACATTGCTGTTTTACTGTTTCATTTTCTATCACATTAGGAGATCTCAATGTAATTATTTTTTAAATAAAAATAATACACTGCTTTTCAACCAAGTTTAAATACATCTGTGGGAAACATTATTGTTCATTCAGTATTTTAAAGGCACTAACAACATAGGAGTTTGATGTGCAGTTTAAAAAAAAAATTGTCTGTATGTATGAATGGAATAAAATTTCAGATAAAAATTAAAAAAAATGAAGTGTCTTGATAAGAGCTTTTTAGAATGTGGTAGGCAACACGTCATAATTCATAAAACTAAATTAATACTGTTCTAATGGTAATTAAAGCTTCTCATTAAGAGGGGCAAACACCTCCCTGTGTTGGCAATAAAAATGCACTTGGGACTTGAAGAGGTTATACACAAAAATCAATAACCTGCCATTTTATAATTAAAAGACAAAATAAATGTTAGGGAAATGTCCACTAAATTAGGAAAATTACCTTTAGGAGAGATTGAAAATATTGATTTTAATTTACAAAATATGTGAACTCTTCATGCCCTAGTCTGTGAGACAATTAGAAGCCAGGTTGTTAATTCTGCATAAGCTTGAGAAAAATCGATAATTGCACTATGAGAATATTATGATATTTGTCATTAACACAAAGTCATTTATATAAAACGACTAATGACTCTGACTTCCTAATTCATGCAGGTTCAGGGTTGGTTGGCTAAATATATAAACCAGATCAATGTCACATTCTCTATTTTGACTTATAGACACATACAAAACTGGGAAATAAATCCTGCCTACACTTACAGTAGAGCTAAAATAATTTAATTCCATTGAATTAAATTAAGAATTAAGCTAGGAATTAAGCGATTTAAATACCTTTATACATTTCAGTGCTATTTTAATACCACAATGGTCCACCCCACCAATCCATCACTTTAATACTTATTAACACTCTATAGACCAAATTCTGCTCTTGATGTGCCCAGGCAGCTTCCTTTGACTTCAATATAGATATTTAAAATTGCTCTTGTTCAACATCTTTGTTTTCCCCCAAAAAATGTTTGACTGTTGCTGTCTTCTCATTTATATACATATATACAGCATTTGGTGGTAGTAATCATATTATAGTGACAGCTATGTATCTCCTTTTGAGATGAAACACTCCATTTTTGGCCTTAGCTCAAAGTTAGTTTTTAAAGAATATGAAATAAACATGTCCTGCAATGTTTTAATTAGCTGAGCGAGTAGTAGTAGTATCTACTTTTTTGGTTTAGAAAATAATGAAAAAGCTTTTTGGCACCTCATATACATACAAAAACATGTAAAAACAGACACATGGAAAGATAGGGATAGAGCTACTTAAACTAGTTTAGCATGAGATGCATGTATGGCTTAGGGGCCTACAAAAGACTTACATGATTTCAATACCAACTGGAATCTTTTAAATACACAGTGTCTGATTGACTCTTGCAGTTCAACTACTCACTTTCAACAGATAGTCTCTTCAGAATGGCAGTCAGCTGTGCTCTGAGGGCCTGATTCAAAGTCAATGGAGAGACTCTAACTTCAGTGGGCTTTAGACCAGAGCTTAACTGGAGTTTAAGTGTTATTATGGTTGCCAGGCGTCCAGTTTTCAACCGGAATGCCTGGTCAAAAAGGGACCCTGGCAGCTACGGTTGGCACCGCTGGCGGCACAATGGGGCTCCCTGCCTGCCCTAGCTCCACATGGCTCCCGGAAGCAGCCGCCAGGTCCCTGCAGCCCCTAGATGCATGAGCAGCGAGGAAGGCTCCGCACGCTACTCCTGCCCCAAGGGCTGGTTCCGCAGCTCCCATTGGCCGTGAACCGTGACCATCGGGAGCTGCAGAGGTGGCGCCTCTGGGCACAAGGGCAACATGCAGAGCCTCCCTGGCTGCCCAGGTTGGGTGCGAGAGGGGACTCCGGGCTGGGGCAGGGGGTTGGGATGTGGGAGAGGGTTCGGGGGTGGGCTCCCGGTGGCGCTTACTGCGGCTCCCAGGGCTGCAGAGACCTGGTGGTTGCTTCCTGGGAGCCGCAGTAAGCGCCACCAGGAGCCCACCCCCTAACTTTTTAATGATTGGCAAGCAATGTGAAATAAATGAACTCATACTCAAAACACTTTGTACACTTTCAACAACAACAAAAGCAAGATAAAATTAACAAGCGTAATGGTACTCTTACCTGCATAGAATTCTGGACTATAAACTGCACCGACAACTGGATTTAATTTCCAGCCTACAGCAAAAAAACAAAACAACAACAACAGAAAAAGGATTGAGTTAATATTATAAATAATATTAATAAATATTAAATTTCTATATAGAAAATTAGAATATGAAGCTGTTACTTCAGGGTACTGTAGTTTTAGTGGAAGTTGTATGTAGCTATATAAGTCTGATTGCAGTATTTAGATACTTAGAAGAAATGATTAAACTGTTTATCTTTAACTATGCAGTGGTCTGGCTATGTCACCATGAAATATAAATGGTGGGAACTGAGGATTGTATAAAATATTGGCTTTTTTTCCCCAGGAGTGGGGGTATATTTTGTGAATGCTAATGTTCATAAAACACAGACTGATAAGCATTGGCTCAAGCCAGTAAACAGTGCATTGTAGGCATAAGCCACTTAAGCTTCCCCACACAGCTTTCCTACAGCAGTTCAATCCAGAGATATGAGAACATATCTATTTCAAGCCTTGCCTCAGCAAAGACTGACAATTATTTAAAAAGTGTGACAAGCTATGTGAAAGGGTCCCCCTCACACTCCCATCTTCTCCTGAGTTAACAGGTGCGCACTGAAAGCTATCTTATTCTTAGTCCACTAAAGCCATTTCACTTGGGACATGAGACGACTTGGATCCCAGGTTTCCAGAGGCAGCGGAAAAATGGAAGAAATCCTAAACAAATCTGTATGCATAGAGTGGTGTTTCATATTTGTATAAGACCTTTCATCCGAAAATGCTCTATTTAAAAACTATGATCCTGATCCTGCATCACTGGAGTCAACTACGAATTTGCCATTGTTTTCATTTTTGAGCAGGAGTGGGGCCTATATATGGTGTGAGGAACATGGGAATTATCTGCGTTAATTTTTATTAATGTGATAGATAGATAGATAGATAGATAGATAGATAGATAGATAGATAGAT